CCTGCAATGGCATACTAACCTCTCTATGGATACACAAGCATGCATGTGTTTTATAAGTTGCATGCATCGGCATATATTCTTGCACAGATATACTTATATAGTATTTGTACATACAGAGGCAGCCCTAGGTAATTTTCAATGGTAAGCAAACAGTATTTTTGCACACACCCCCCCCCCCAACCAATCACTGATATATATTTTCTGTTCGTCATGGGAGTTCTGTGTGATGGTTCAATTTCATCATTGGTGAAGTTCAGAATGCTCTTTGATTGTAGGTGAACATCCCAGTAACTACAGCTTGCATATGTCAAGGTCTATTTTCCCCCAAGAGCGCCTCAAGAGCGCCCCTGGGCAAAATCAGCTATACTGCAAATGCTTACTTTGCATAATGGGTTGAGCCGCCCCTGCATGCATCGGCATATATTCTTGCATGGATATACTTATATAGTATTTGTACATAGTACCAGTAGCCAATATAATTTGAAGCTTGTATAAAACAACTAGTTTGAGATAACAAACAGCTTTAAATCATGTCTTAAGAAATTGGATTGAGAAAGAACGTTTGTCTTTTTTGATTGAAATACATCCCCCTCTAAGAATGAAACCAAAGAAAGCTTTTGGAAAACAAAAAAACAAAAAAAGTCCACCTCTCAGTCTCACCTATAAACTAAAGAGACATTTCTCAGTGTCTCAGGAAGAAAAGAGAGGAAAAAACACTACCAGTCTGACCTTAATAAATGTCTAGTCTTTTAGCTTTGGGTTTATTCACTTTATCTTCTCGTTCTGTCTCTCTGTTTCTCTTTTGCCCTGTTTCTGTTGAGCACATTCTTCCTCAATTCACCACTCTGGCGAATTTCTGCCAGTTATGCTAGATGAAGCCATTAAGACGGCCAAAGAAACAAACAATAGATAAGCACAGTAATCTTGTTGCTTCAGAGCCAATTGGGTGAAACAGAAACTTAAAGCAAGGTTAACCTGCAGGGAAAAGAGTGGGAAAACCCTTTGGCGTGTGCCCTCTTGTGGCTATGTCCTTTTATATTCAGGACAGAAAGATGAACCCCATCTTTAAAAAAAAATGAATGAAATTTCTATTCTAGCTGCTTTAATTATAATCTCAACTCTATCCCTCCTCATTATTTTACTGCGAGTTCGTTTAAATATGTGTATAATATACTTTTCATTTCATGCACTCAAATATAATGAAACTAAAAATGGATACCTAAGAGAGACTGAATCTACTTCTTTGACTGTGAGTTCTACCAAAAGCAATGGTATTTTAGATATCTCTGAACCTGCTTAGATTCCAACTTTAGCCAACAAAAGCCTAGATTACAATTTCCACTCCGTCTTGACTAACCACTGATCACAATCCTGGAATGTCAACACTGCCTCCTCCTCCTTACTTAGTTCTCTGCATTAGTATTTGTCATGTACAGCCTTTTATTTAGCGTCAATTGAGATGCTGGAAGATTGCTACCAATGTAGCAGTGTTGAAAGGAGCCACTTCAGCCATTAGCAATCCTGTTGGCAAATATACATACTATTTGGACTGCAATCACTGACTATTAAGTGTCTCAAGACAGTAAAAAAAAATATATGGTCAATACTATTCATTTACCAAGAGCTGTTTTGCGATAATCAATTATTTTATTATGGTATTCCTTCTTTATCCCCAAAGACCATTTATGTACAGACTTGTTTGATACCAAAACTATTCTAAATATGCCTTTTTTCTGCTAATAGAAAGCAGTAAACCATTTTCAACTATATTTCATTGACTGTATTATCATCAGTGTTTCTGCACCATTTATAATCGCCTGTTAGAATCCCATTTTCCCCAATTCTCTTTGCAGATATTGGTTTCAAGAAGGCTCGTCTGTAATTTTAATAGCACCTGCCAAGAATTTGTCTGATCTCCTGGGTCTGAGAACACCTGCATTACAGTATATTAGCCTTTGGCCCTTTGTTCCTATTGTCCACTCCCAGCATCCTCCAGAATGCTGCAATCTAGTCCTCCCTCCCTCGCCTGCCTTCTAATCCTTCTAAGTCCCAACACAGAAAGGAGGTCTGCAAACAATACTCACCATTTATCAGATCCTTCTAGTTTTATTGACTACAAAAGCTGAACTGAATAATTTCAGTGAGTATACTGAATCCAGAGAACAATGAGACAATTACATTAGATCAAGTCCCTCCTCTTGGGGGGAAAATATCTTAGACTGCTTCTATTTTCAATAGTATCCAGTCGACAAACCTGAAGAGTATGCTCTTCATTCATTTTCATTGATTCTCTGCTGCCTCCCTATAAGATGACGGTTGCTTTGGGGAACAGCAATATGTATATCACTCCATTGGATAGAGTAGAAAGCAAATCCCATACCGGACTATTTGACTCAAAAAGAAGTCAGACATATCCCGGAATGGGTTTTTGGACACGTTGACCTCCATGGATGTTTGTCAACCTGCTTGACAAATTGCTAGATTTTTCTATTTCTCAAGAGGCAATGAAAATAAAGCCGTACTTTTTTGGAACTCATATCCATATTTACCGCCCAAAACACTGGGTTAGTATTGCCACAAATAATGTGAGAACTACGAATAGCGGTAAAGAGAAAAATGCTTGGATTTATGGAAGAATATATTATGAAATAATATTCAAGGGAGTCATATATCCAAGCAGTCCTAACCGAAGGTACTGGCTCTTTCATTTGTAAGATGTCAAAGTGGAATAGTACTGGGTTGTTGTAGGTTTTCTGGGCTATATGGCCATGTTCTAGAGGCATTTTCTCCTGACGTTTCGCCTGCATCTATGGCAAGCATCCTCAGAGGTAATAAGTTCTGTTAGAAGTAGGAAAATGGGTTTATATATCTGTGGAAAGACCAGGGTGGGACAAAGGACTTTTGTCTGCTGGAGCTAGGTGTGAATGTTTCAACTGACTTTAATGGCTTAGAATAGTACTATTTGTGTGTTTTGATTAGCATTTAATGGCTTGGAATAGTACTATTTGCATGTTTTATATATTCTTTTTGACCAAAAATTACTTTCAGTATATAGAATAAATGGAAGAGAAGGAAAACTGTAATATGTATTTTGAGAAGGATTTCTCAGGGGACTGAAGATAGACTCAAAATGTAGGAACGACCTCAGCATATTGGTTATATTGGTCTCTCATCTTTTCTTCTTATAGAAGGATAAATGTGAAATGGATATAGTTGTCATCAAAAGTTTCAACAACAGAAAATATGGTAGTTTGAATATTTCAGCTTGTAGGGGGGAAATGAGTAGCCGAACTATTGGCCACTTTCTGGGCAATGGCACAGCTAATATTAATCATGTGATACTGCAAACCAATTGGACTGTGACACCATTTAAGCATGTCACACTTGTCTTTGGAGCCTCCTTTAAGCCGAAAACTTGCTGGAGCTCACTGGATCTGGAAACCACCGATTATTCCATGTGTCTTTCCCTCCGGCTTGGAGAGACTAATGCAATAAATTGGATCTGCTACATCCCCATCAGATGATCTGGCCATTTCTTTGCTTCTGAATGCTCCCTCTTTAAATGAGGTTCATTGGTACTCAGCCCACCCATCCTTTGAAAGAGAAACAGTACAATTTTATGTTTGTTTTTTATGATGACCCTCTCCCTGGGATAATAACTGATTTGTTAAAGAGGACTACTAAACATAGACAACCAGAGCTCCTTCTACATTGCAATCTCAGGCAATTAGCAGCAGGAATGTCTGCTCTGAAACCATACATGTTTCTCTGCATGTCTTTTTCTGCAAACAGAACATCTGAGTCAACAGGTTTTCAGAACTAGAAACTCCGAGAGTTGCCTTAACTGTTTATATTACTGCAACAAACTTTTAAACAAAAATGCTCAGTGTGCCTGTGCATACTTTGCCTACCATATGTTGGACTGAACAAAATAATGACAATTTTGCAAGCTGTCTTGGCAGCAGAAAAATGTTTTTAACTAGGCAACATAATTAACCTCTAGAAAGTTTTCAGCAGTGGCTTTGAATCTCTAGATGATATAGCTATTGGTATAGACAGGTAAATGTAAGTGTCCATATGTCAGTTTATATGCTACCCACACCCACACATGTATACATATATATGCAAATAAGTATCTATGATGAATATTATAATATACCAATTAGTTCTGAGATCTTCCCTTATTATTATTTCATGGTGAACTTAATAATCAGTGAAGCATTAGGACATATTTGTGAAGTGTTATTGGATTAGAATCTATATGAAAATAGGTTTACTTCTGAATTTTAGAACTAATTAGATTGCTCAAAACATATCCTACCGAGGTTGCATTCTTTGGCAAGGAGCTCTTAAGAATACTATATTTTTTTCTTCTCCTCCTTTCTTTCCTCTTTCCAGTGTACAAAAGTCAGCATTACATTCTGGATAGCTTACAACTATTTGTCCCAGTTACTATTGAAGCTTTCTGACAGTAGCTGTTAACACATTTACTGCCACAAATATTTGCTGTGAATTGAGGAACAATTATTTGAAAATGTATGTTCTCAACTTGTCAGGTTTTACAGTGAGTTGATTTGGAAAATTAACTATTTGGCTTTGCCCAGATTGTTGTAAAGACCCTCTGTAGTTCATCTGTTTCCCTCACTGGCTTTCATTTCTATTTATCAGCACCAATAATTCACATTTATCTGTTCTTTTTGCAAACATAGCAGGAAGAATAACCCTCCTACTCAATATTTCAGCCTGAGATTGGTATAAAGCTCCCCCACCTCTTTGCCTGGCTAGGTTTAAGTAAGTGTAAGCAACTCATCTGTAGCCAAGGTTAAATTCTAGAGACCCACATTCCTTCATGCTTTCACCCTCTCCTTTCTCTCAACCTGTAACCTCACAGAGATTATTACTGTTGCAAAGAAAAGCAAGTTAATTGCAGTTCTGACAAAGACCTATTTAAGTTGAGTCTTTCTCTGCACCCTCACCCCGATGCTCCTATTAAGACCCACCTGATTCTGCAAATGTTATGATCTCCGAAGTTTGCTCCACAAGTTCATTCATTTCCGTTCTTCTCCCAATGTCATCCTCAATTTCCACATTGCCATCCTCTCTTACTTTCCCCACATGGAGTTTCTTGATTGCATTAAAAAGTGCAGCTTTGGGTACTGGCTGAGTGATGTTCGGTCTGTCCCGCAAGTGCAACATGTTCAGGATGTGCTTCTTTACCGCTTCGACCATCTCAGGCTGGGAGCTGGGCACATCCTTGGAGAGCATGGAGAGGGCACAGGATGGGCAATCGGTGACGGAGCTATGCCCCTCAGATCCCGGGGTAGGAGAACTCCTCACTATAATCCAGCAAAGCACCAAGAAAAATCCTCTCTTCAGAACCAAAGGCATCCTGGCAGCAAAAGTTGTTGTGATTCCCTTTTAAAAGGCACTGCTTTTCTTCTCCCAACACTACTTCATGCACAGTTTGTTTTGTTTTGTTGTCTTTCTGCTTCCTTTCTTCCTCTTCAGCAAATTCACTGGAAGAACAAAAAGTTTTCTGTGAAGTTTTGTCTGGAGGGTCCCTCCTAATTCAATAAGTGCTATAGAGGTCTGTGGCTGTCAGTGAGAGGAGTTCTGACTCTGTCTCAGAGTGGGAGAAACACACTGAGAAAAAGAGAGAGAGAGAGGAGGACCGATTGGCCTAAAAGTGAGTGAGTGAATGAGAGAGGGAGGGAGTTTTGTCTGTGAGTAAAAGCTATGATTAGGAAGGGGGAGGAACAGCCCATATTCTGACAAGCTGCTTTCCTTATGCTGGAATTGTATTCTAGCACACACACTCATGTCTCATTTATATATCACTGCTCATGTTTTCTGCCCTAGCCACCTTTCCTGTTAAATCTTTTTTCTTCTTCTGTAGTGTTTGTCCTCTGCTTTCTCAATCTCATTCTTTTCTCTTCCCTCCCTTTCTTTCTTTTTTTGTAGCTTCTTTTCTTTGTTTCTCTTTCTAGTTTTTCCAAAGTACCCCAAGTTAACAGAGCAACGTGAGAATCAAGGGCAAGGAGAAACCTTTAAAACACATTTTTTACGTGTGAGTTATGCACTACTATGCCAAATAGGTGCTAAGAAATGCCACTTATTTGGTGCCCTGGGCAGAAAAGGGGCACTAGAAAAAAAATACCTAATTATGATCTCATTGAAGAAGAGAAGAGATCCCACTCAGCCAGATTTCTTTAGATGCTGCAGATTATCAGCACTGGCAGGAGATCTGAGGAAATGAAAGAAAACTTTGGGATCTTAAAGTATGATATTTCTGAACTCCAGAAAACAAGCATGGCATGGAAAGGCCAAAGCAGAACCTAATTGTGTTTCATTTTGAGGTTCCGTGCCCCAGAACTTCGCAACCGACTCTGACAACTGTGGCCAAATCTATGGACTGTTGCCAAACCTGGAGGCACTTTCTTAGTTGTAACTTGAGGCAAATTCTTGATTCTTGGTCTAGATGTTTTCGCCTTTGGAACAGGTTATTTGATGATTTCTGATATTGCAAACCTCGACTATTTAATTCAAACCTGAGTCAAATTTCTTTTTAAGTTCAGACCGAATAAAAGCTCTTTTTCATAGAACTTATTAAAAATGTGATTTTTTAAAAAAAAGAATTAAGAATCTCTTTAAGAGAAAATGGACTTCCGCCGTAGCTGTATTTCCCCACCACAAATACCAAAGTATGCCAAAGTTTGCCTAGCATAATCAAATTCCTTTTAAATTCTGTTTAACGGGTTTGAAGCCTTCCTTTTTTGCTTTTCCTTCCAAATTAATTTAATATAAGCTTTTATATGAAGTATACTAAGTTCAATTCCATCACTTTGGGATGTTTCCCCATTGTTTGGGATATGACAATGAAGTTTCTCAAATTAGCACAAACATAGCGATTATAGAGGCCCTACCATGCATATCCCTCTCATCTTAAGAGTCTGCTGAAGAAATAAAGAGTTCTGTCGGAAAAATAATTTGAAGTCTGAAAAGTTACATACTATTTTTTCCTATTTTCCATTGTTTGTCCGGTAGGTGTTTTTAAGCAGAGCAAAGAATGAAAGCAGATTTTTTTTTTGCCTTTACATAGACTACTTAAATGTCCATCGATCTTTTCTCCTAAGTTCTGGTACTGCTGTGCTTAAGAACTTAGGAAACTAGATTGCCTTTTGAAGCCCTGGTAATATTATGTATTAAATAAACAGACTTGCAACACAGGCTTTGCAGTGCTTCTAATGAACATCATGACTTTCATTTATTCTAAATTAGCTTTAATTTCGGCATGTTTTAAAGTGCAGCCAGGGATGAAACTTCATCAGAGGATGAATTAATGTTTGGAGTATCCAATAAGTGCGTAATAGGCAGATACAACTATTCTGTCAGTGGGAATTCTTTGTACATAGATAGCATTGCTTGTAAAATACATCTCTGATCAGTGTTAACAAAGTACACAATATTAAGGTAAACATAATAGAACATTTCACATAATTTCCAGGGTAAGGGGCACATTTTGCACAACCTTTCCACATAAACACTGTAAAACCATAAAAGAGAGAACAGGAAAGTTAGATTTTTACCTTCTAAGATTGAATCTCCTGAGGTCTTTCTCACAGAGCCTTAGGAACACTTCAAGTTCTTCTTAGAGGAATTCAGACTTCAAAGCTTTATACTCTAGTTGTAATGTGTAAGTACATGACACGTTGTGTTGTGGGATGGAGGAGAGCACTGGATTGGCTAATAGTGCATTACATCAGCATATGAGTGATTTTCCTGTGTGAGACATACTTTTTGACAGTTATCTAATGGAAAGCTCTATTTGCCTTGCTTGACACTAAGCACTGTACATTCATCCAAGGTTGTCATACAATGCACATTTCTCGGCTGTAACTCCTGTTGGCCACTTTGGTACTTTTTTTTTGAGCAAATTTATGCCTGCTGTGGACTCACCATCTCAAAATAATACATCTATAGAAGGGAAAAATCAGATCAAAGGCAGTCATAAATTGACAAAAAGGTGGATGTCAAGAATGCTGGAAAACACATATATACATGCACAGAGAGACAGATTTATGATGTTCCATATAAATGCTCTGCTCCTATTTTATCTCATTATAGTTTGTTAACTGTTTTTATCCAGAATATGTGGCCCGCCCATTGTCATCCTTACTATGATTGTGTTTATTGGAATGTTTATCTTATGATTTTTTCTCTCTTTTAATGTTATTTTGATGATGTTGCTGTTGTTTGCTGTATATGTTTTGATTTTATTGCTGTATTATGTTGTCCGGGCTTGCCCCCATGTAAGCCGCTCTGAGTCCCCATTGGGGAGATAGGGGCAGGGTAGAAATAAAGTTATTATTATTATTATTATTATTATTATTATTATTATTATTATGTTTCTTTATATACCTCTTCAATACAGAATGTTTTAAAACCAACTTTATGTCATTTCATAATACTATCTTTAACTTTATTTCACACTCAGAAGCAAATCTTCAACTACTTTTTCTCTCCCTCATATAATATTTTCGGAAAGAATCTCCAGAAACAATCTCAAAAACTCTGTGGTCTTTGGGTTATTTCCTCCCTGACTTGTATCGTTTTTTGAAAGCAGTTAAATACAGAAATGCTCAAAATAATGATACTTGTATAAAAGAACAATGTAATATATCACACCCATCCTCTGTTTATATTTACACTATAACAACTTTTATTTACAGTGTTCATAAAAGTTGTAATAAAAGTAAAAGTTTTGGGGCATTTCATATATAAAAGATGGTTTATTTGATGTAGCAGAATTCAGCAGAATATTGTTGAAATCATTTAATCACAATGATGTAAGGTGATTTTTTTTTGGTCATGTCAGGGGCAACTTGAGAAACTGCAAGTCACTTCTGGGATGAAGGAATTGGCCATCTGCAAGGACATTGCCCAGGGGATGCCCTGATGTTTTGATGTTTTACCATCCTTGTGGGAGGCTTCTCTCATGTCCCCGCATGAGGAGCTGCAGCTGATAGAGGGAGCTCATCCTCACTCTCCCCGGATTTGAACCTGCAACCTGTCAGTCTTCAGTCCTGCTGGTACAGGGGTTTAACCCACTGCACCACTGGGGGCTCCTATGTAAGGTGATGTAAGCCTGATTCTATTCGTGCTTACTGAGATGTTCACTGTGGTTTTGATTGCAGTGCTGTGCAATTTGCCCAGAAGTAAGTTCCATTGAATGCAATGGTCTTACTTCTGAGAAGGTATTACAAGATCATGGTTTTAGTTCTAAAGAAGTGTGCACTGGGTGGCAGTCAGCGTCTACTGTTTTTAAGAGATTGACCTGGACTTAATATTACTTAGATTGGATGCTTTGAAATCAACAGAGAATTAATCATGACTAACCTAGCATCTGATTTGTGAATCTGATTTGTGGTTGTAATACTCATTGCTTCCTATTTTACTTTTTTGTTACTTTATTCCTGTACAATGATGTGCTATACTATTGTAGTCGTTCGCAGCTGCAGTTGTTATTTCACCTTAAGTAATAGGAGGCTGGAATATAAACAGAGTACATACATACTCAAAGGGAATTAAACTGGATATAAATGAGGAGGCAACATCTCTTGATTGACATCAAAATAGTAAGGCAGTGGTTCTCAACCTGTGGGTCCCCAGGTGTTTTGGCCTACAACTCCCAGAAATCCCAGCCAGTTTACCAGCTGTTAGGATTTCTGGGAGTTCAAGGCCAAAACATCTGGGGACCCACAGGTTGAGAACCACTGTAGTAAGGAGTACTTAGAGCAGTGGTTCTCAGCCTGTGGGTCCCCAGGTGTTTTGACCTAACTCTCAGAAATCTCAGCCAGTTTACCAGCTGTTAGGATTTCTGGGAGGTGAAGGCCAAAACATCTGGAGACCCACAGGTTGAGAACCACTGGTTTGAGCATCACAGACTCCTGTTTAAAGAAGATAGCAGTAGTGGTGGGTTGAGATGGAGAGAGGTCTTCAATTTGGCATGATGCGTAATTTGGGGGCTAATGAGAAACATATAGTTGCCTTGGTTTTCCTTTTAATGGCTTAAGATACTTATGCATACTTCACCCAGATCCCCATGAATTATATAGGAGAAGTGAGTATCCTGAAATTGGAATCAGAAGATCATTAGGTTCTTCTGGTGTTATGTCTGAATAGGAGACAGGAGCATGTATGAGTGATAGGGCAAGTCATGTTCCTATCTACACTATTAGTGCTTGGTAGAGTGCAGTGGTTCTCAACCTGGGTCCCCAGATGTTTTTAGCCTTCAACTCCCAGAAATCCTAACAGCTGGTAAACTGGCTGGGATTTCTGGGAGATGTAGGCTAAAGACATCTGGGGACATCTGGGGACCCCAGGTTGAGAACCACTGGTATAGTGCATTTCTGCTACTTTTGTTTGGAACAAATGACCTCAAGTGAAAATCTTAAAGGGAACATACTTTCAAGGCAATTGATGGAAATTGATTTTTGTAATTTTTTTTATTTTTTCTGTATTTTTTCATATCCAAGCAACCTGATAAATTTGAGGGAGTAGAGGTAAACAAACCTGGGTTCCCTGGAGATTGTACAATCAACAACAAAAATCATACTTGGTGTCCCTTTATCTTCACACAAGGTTGACCAACCTGCTTGCGCCACCACCATCTTGGCCAGACCTTCATATATCATACCAAGAAAACTTCTGTGGGGTTTTGCGGTACAAGGGATAGTAGGTACCGCAAGTTG